ACCATAATAGAATATGAATATGGTGAATAAATATATTATCGGGCGTCATTATATAATTTGAGTTATTAGAAATGTGTATGGAATATGTGTCATTAATTAATAGTTTTTTAACTTAGTTTCTTGGTGAAGAAGTAACCTAAAATTTGGTGATGGAGAAGAAGAAAATACTGAAATGGTTTACATCTATTATACCATAATACAATATGAATATGGTGATTAAATATACTATCGAGACTCATTATATAATTTGAATTATTTAAAATGTATATGGAATATGTGTCATTAAGTAATAGTCTTTTAACTTAGTTTCTTTGTGATGAAGTAACCTAAAATTTGGTGATGGAGAAGAAGAAAAATATTGAAATTGTTTACATCTAGTATACCATAATACAATATGAATATGGTAAATAAATATACTATCGGGCCTCATTATATAATTTTAATTATAACCAATGTATTTGAATTATGTGCCATTAATTAATAGTATTTTAACTTAGTTTCTTAGTGATGAAGTAACCTAAAATTTGGTGATGGAGAAGAAGAAAAATATTGAAATTATTTACATCTATTATACCATAATAGAATATGAATATGGTGAATAAATATACTATCGGGCCTCATTATATAATTTGAATTATTTCTAATGTATATGGAATATGTGTCATTTAATAATAGTGTTTTAACTTAGTTTCTTGGTGAAGAAGTAACCTAAAATTTGTTGATGGAAAAGAAGAAAAATATTGAAATTTTTTACATCTATTATACAATAATAGAATATGAATATGGTGAATAAATATACTATCGGGCCTCATTATATAATTTCAGTTATTAACAATGTATATGAAAAATGTGTCATTAATTAATAGTCTTTTAACTTAGATTCTTAGTGATGAAGTATCCTAAAATTTGGTGATGGAAAAGAAGAAAAATACTGAAATTGTTTATATCTATTATACCATAATACAGTATGAATATGGTGATTAAAGATACTATCGAGACTCATTATATAATTTGAATTATTTCCAATGTATATGAAATATGTGTCATTAATTAATAGTCTTTTAACTTAGTTTCTTAGTGATGAAGTAACCTAAAATTTTGTGATGGAGAAAAAGAAAAATATTGAAATTAATTACATCTATTATACCATAATACAATATGAATATGGTGAAAAAATATATTATCGTGCGTCATTATATAATTTGAGTTATTAGCAATGTGTATGGAATATGTGTCATTAATTAACAGTCTTTTAACTTAGTTTCTTGGTGAAGAAGTAACCAAAAATATGGTGATGGAGTAGAAGAAAAATACTGAAATTGTTTACATCTATTATACCATAATACAATATGAATATGGTAAATAAATATACTATCGGGCCTCATTATATAATTTTAATTATAACCAATGTATTTGAATTATGTGCCATTAATTAATAGTCTTTTAACTTAGTTTCTTAGTGATGAAGTAACCTAAAATTTGGTGATGGAGAAGAAGAAAAATATTGAAATTATTTACATCTATTATACCATAATAGAATATGAATATGGTGAATAAATATACTATCGGGCCTCATTATATAATTTGAATTATTTCTAATGTATATGGAATATGTATCATTTATTAATAGTGTTTTAACTTAGTTTGTTGGTGAAGAAGTAACCTAAAATTTGGTGATGGAAAAGAAGAAAAATATTGAAATTTTTTACATCTATTATACATTAATAGAATATGAATATGGTGAATAAATATACTATCGGGCCTCATTATATAATTTCAGTTATTAACAATGTATATGAAAAATGTTTCATTAATTAATAGTCTTTTAACTTAGATTCTTAGTGATGAAGTATCCTAAAATTTGGTGATGGAAAAGAAGAAAAATACTGAAATTGTTTATATCTATTATACCATAATACAGTATGAATATGGTGATTAAATATTCTATCGAGACTCATTATATAATTTGAATTATTTCCAATGTATATGAAATATGTGTCATTAATTAATAGTCTTTTAACTTAGTTTCTTAGTGATGAAGTAACCTAAAATTTTGTGATGGAGAAAAAGAAAAATATTGAAATTAATTACATCTATTATACCATAATACAATATGAATATGGTGAATAAATATATTATCGTGCGTCATTATATAATTTGAGTTATTAGCAATGTGTATGGAATATGTGTCATTTATTAACAGTCTTTTAACTTAGTTTCTTGGTGAAGAAGTAACCTAAAATTTGGTGATGGAGAAGAAGAAAAATA